TTTTTGAGATGGAGTCTTACTCTTGTCACCCAGGCTGGAGTGCAGTGGCACGATCTCAGCTTACTGCAGCCTCTGCCTCCCAGGTTCAAGTGAGTCTTCTGCCTCAGTCTTCTGAGTAGCTGTGACTACACATGTCAGCCATTGCACCCAGTTAATTTTTGTATTTTCAGTAGGGATAGGGTTTCACCATGTTGGCCAGGTTGGTCTTGAATTCCTGACCTCGGGTGATTCTGCCTGCCTCAACCTCCCAAAGTTCTGGGATTACAGGCGTGAGCCACCACACTTGGCCTAACAATGCTTTTTTGTTTGTTTGTTTTTGGTTTTTTTGAAACAGAGTCTCGCTCTGTTGCCCAGGTCGGAGTGCAGTGGCGTGATCTCGACTCACTGCAAGCTCTGCCTCCTGGGTTCACGCCATTCTCCTGCCTCAGCCTCCCGAGTAGCTGGGACTACAGGCACCCGCCACCACGCCCAGCTAGTTCTTTTTGTATTTTTATTAGAGACGGTTTCACTGGGTAGCCAGGATGGTCTTGATCTCCTAACCTTATGATCCCCCCACCTCGGCCTCCCAAAATGGTGGGATTACAGGTGTGAGCCACTGCACCTGGCCTAACATTGCTTTTTTGTTTGTTTTTATTTTTTTTTGGTTGTTGTTTTTTTGAGACAGTTTCGCTGTATTGCCCAGGCTGGACTGCAGTGGTGTGATCTCGGCTCACTGCAAGCTCCGCCTCCCGGGTTCACGCCATTCTCCTGCCCTCAGCCTCCCGAGTAGCTGGGACTACAGGCGCCTGCCACCACACTCTGCTAGTTTTTTGTATTTTTAGTAGAGATGGAGTTTCACTGGGTTAGCCAGGATGGTCTCCATCTCCTGACCTCATGATCTGTCCACCTTGGCCTCCCAAATTGCTAGGATTACAGGCATGAGCCACCGTGCCTGGCCTTACCATTGCATTTTTAAGCCCCTTTTGGAAATTGCTTATTTCACTAGTTACCCCCTCTAGTACCCAAAACGTGGCCGAAAACCTGGACAGTTAGAGAGATCCTGACATCCCAGGTGAAGTCACTTCTGGGACATCATACCCAAGAAGTTGGCCTTTCTGCTGCAGGAATAGGTGGAGCCAGATAAAGTTGTTGATTGCTTTGAGGAGAAAGTGTTTTGAAAGTTGCATTTTATTTTTTAGGCTGTAACAGAAGACAAGTACGAAATACTGCAATCTGTCAACGATGCTGCGATTGTGATAAAAAACACAAAAGAGCCTCCATTGTCCCTGACCATCCACCTGACATCCCCTGTTGTCAGAGAAGAAATGGAAAAAGTATTAGCTGGAGGTAGGGAGGCCGAGACAGGCCGGCAGGGCTTTGAAAACGTGGTGTTCCCTCACTATTCAAATGTGCTATTCAGTTTTAGACTGCTTTGGTAAAAGGCTACGTTGTAGATTGACCACCTTTACTCTGAGATCACATCTCCCGTTGGCTTTGAGTACTTGGGAGTTTGGCAAAACGGTCACACTAAAAGTGAGTAGCACTTTTCGTAGGGGACTGCACCATTTTCCTTTAACTTCATCCTTGAACATTCTCAAACGTGAATGTGGTAGTTGCTTTTCCGTGGAGCCATTCTCTGGCTGTGGAGAAGTGTGTCCCTGGTGATTCTATGGTTTTAAAGATGAGACAACCAGACGGTTTCTGCATGAGCACCACGTTGGAGTTTACCAACAGCCTGTGCTGCAGCTGAGCTGAGGGCCTCTTCGTTTGTCCTCTGCCGTGGCTCTTATCATCTAAAGTGACAGAAGCACAAAGAGCTGATACAGAGTTTTGGATAAAGTTTAAACAGTTGTCCAATTTTTCAGACTACCTCATTGGACCTCGCACTAATAATGTGCTCACAGTCCATGGCCCGCCCCTCGTGTGCCTGTCTTCAGGCCTTATCCAAACCCCTGGCGTGCAGATGGCAGAGAAGACAGACGCTCGGCTTGGCCGCAGCATAGGCTGGCATAGCGCCCTTGTTGCTGTTTACCTTTGGTTCTCATAGCTGATTCCGACTACCAAAGCCCTTCTAGTTGATCAACGTAGGGACGCTGGACCTTTGACCAACAGGACTCTCTCTGTCAAGGGCTGGGGCTAGGGCAGTCCCGCCTGGTGGGCGGAGTTGGTCCCCTTTGCCGCATATGCCTTGGGATGGCTGTTGTGGGATGCAGAGAGGGAGTTCCTTTCCTCTCCCCCGGCCTTTTTAATTTTTTTCCTATTGAACATTTTAGTATAGCTAATTTATTGGGAGAACATGGGGAGGAGGCAAGGGAAGAGGATTAGAAGATAGGCTCCACCTATCTCTCCCCTCCCTCATGAGATTATTCCTTTTAGAATAACTCCCCACTTTTGTTTTTATGTTCGTTTTATTTTTTCTTTTTCTTTCTTTTTTCTTTTTCTTTTTTATTTTTGGATGGGGCCTCCAATTTTTACAATTTCCTCACAGGGCAGAGTTCAATGTGCTCTAGTTTCTCCTTCCCTGGTCCAGGGTGGAGATGAATTCAGCTTCTGGGAAACTCAGCTGCCCTTTAGAAAGCTGCCACATCCCCTTTCCACCTGACAGAAACCCCTTGGTCAAACTGTGCCTTGTCTTCTTATTCCATCCATGAATAGAAACGCTATCAGTCAACGACCCCCCGGACGTTCTGGACAGGCAGAAATGCCTTGCTGCCTTGGCGTCCCTCCGACACGCCAAGTGGTTCCAGGTTTGCATTTTGTTCTTCTCTTTGTCTTTTGGTAGAGAATTCCTAAGTTTTAACTTGGCTAACTGTCACCATAAAGATTCCTTAACATTGACGATAGCCGTGCAGAGCTTAGCACCTGCGGTTCCGCAGGTCCTAAAGGAGTGCACCTCAACAAATTCGACCCCAAAAGAGGCTGAGACTGAATTGGTGGGCTGCTGCTGCTGCTTTGTGTTAAGAGTAATACTTTCTTGTACACGTAGTGAGATTGCGGCTGGCCACACCCTTGGTGGTCGCCATCGTTGACTGTTTACCCTTGGCAAAGCAGCACCGTGACACTTGTGTTGTTCATGTTGACCTGTGCCCTGGGCGGTGCCTCAGACTGAAGAGCCTGTGTTTTGTTCCCCTAGGCTCGAGCCAACGGACTGAAGTCCTGTGTCATTGTGATCCGGGTCCTGAGGGACCTGTGCACTCGCGTGCCCACCTGGGGTCCCCTCCGAGGCTGGGTAAGGATGTTGCTATGGCTACTAGGGGGTGGTGTATGCAGAGTCTCTAGGATATCCCAGGAACACTTGATGATCATGGGGCAGGAGTGGCCCCCTGATGTGTGGCTGGTGTGTACTCTCCAGAGCTGCCTGTGGAGCTGCTACTGCTTGCCACACCTGGGGTTGGGGTTGGGGTTGGGGTTGGGACAGTGTGGGTCAGGGCCCTTTGCAGGGGTCGCACAGCTCAATCCCAGCAGGAGGCTGGCGAGGAGGTGGGAATGATCCCTCTGGGAAGGTTTGCAGATGCTCTCACGCGGGACCAGTTCTTACCAGCTGTTGCTATTTTTTTTCAGCCCCCTATTGGGGTGGTTTTTATATTTGTAAATAAATGGTTAGATTTTAAGTATGAGATACTACATTATAACCTCAGCTTGGTCTCTGAGCTCACAGAGCCTGCAGGATGTCATGTCTGGTCCTCCCTGTCCTAGGTGCACTGGCTCAGGCTTAGCCCTGAGGCTTTGACTTTACCTGACTGGATGGCTATGAGTCCCACGTGTGCCCTGACCCACTCATCTAGTGACAGCTCCCTAGTGGCGGCCGGCCTCATCCTGTAGGTTCTTGGCTCACTGTCCCTCTTCCCTTTCAGCCTCTCGAGCTCCTGTGTGAGAAATCCATTGGGACAGCCAACAGACCGATGGGTGCTGGCGAGGCCCTGCGAAGAGTGCTGGAGTGCCTGGCGTCGGGCATCGTGATGCCAGGTTGGGGCCTTGTGCTTCGCAGGTTGCAGGGAAAGGACAGGGTTCCAGGCCGCCTCCTGGCGGGTACACTGACTGGGTTAGGACAGGAGCAGCCCCGTGTCCACTCCCTAGAGCTGAAGCATGTGACTACCCTCTGGCACCATCATATCCAGCCCTGACCGGGTCCGCAGCCGTCATTCAGAGGGCGGATCCGGGGCAATGGTGACCCACTCCCACGTGACTTTCTTGCTCTGAGACACTTGTGAATTATTTCTGTCAAGGGCTGGACGCCGAGTGGGTCACCGAGCTAGGCATGTTTTCCAGAGCTGGGTGTGGATGGGGCGCGGGGGGTAACACACCTAGTTCCCTCAGCCAGCACACCTCTTCAGAGATGCTAAAAGATAATCCTCTGCATATCTTCCTTGTTTCCTGCCTTCAGATGGTTCTGGCATTTATGACCCTTGTGAAAAAGAAGCCACTGATGCTATTGGGCATCTAGACAGACAGCAACGGGAAGATATCACACAGAGTGCGCAGGTATAGTCATCGCCATTGCCAACGTGCGCCCTGACCCAGTCTGTAATCACTGGCTTCCAGTTCCATTACTGGGTATTCCCAGGGTAGCCCCTGGACTCGTAGGCTCAGGTCGGGGACTGAAGGCAAAGGGATCGTGTCTGATACAGGGCGCCCCAATCTGGGCTGCTTCTTTCCCCTGGTGCCATGCCTGGTTGTCGTCTGCCCCCTCCCTTGGCTTGCTCGAGTGCCATTTTCGGACACTGAGTGGTGCTGGGAGATGTGTTTGCTGTGCGGACTGCTCCGGGGGACCTTCCCCTGCAGGCTACCACATGGCTCCGTGTGGCAACCAGTCCCCAGGTTGGGGTCTCCTGTATTCCTCTGGAAGGGGGGTGGTCACAGGCTGGCCTTCCCCCACAGCAAGGCTGGACTTGAGCATTCAGGCTCTCCCCTGGCTGGTGGGGGACCCCTTGCTGTCGTAGAGGAGACCATTAGCAGCCCTTCAGCTCTGCCCCTCCTCAGAAGGCAGTAGTGAGCGCACACTCCATGACCGGGAGCACAGGGCAGCTGAGTCAGAGCCTCTTCCCCTTCTCCAGCACGCACTGCGACTCGCTGCCTTCGGCCAGCTCCATAAAGTCCTGGGCATGGATCCTCTGCCTTCCAAGATGCCCAAGAAACCAAAGAATGAAAACCCAGTGGACTACACCGGTAAGCCCACGGCGGTTGCCTGATGGCTTGGGCTCCAGGAAGAGTGGCCATCTGCATCTCTCAGCCATGCCCTGCTCTCTCCTTGCAGTTCAGATCCCACCCAGCACCACCTATGCCATTACGCCCATGAAACGCCCAATGGAGGAGGACGGGGAAGAGAAGTCTCCCAGCAAAAAGAAGAAGAAGATTCAGAAGAAAGGTACAGGCCGGGCGCGGTGGCTCACGCCTGTAATCCCAGCACTGTGGGAGGCCGAGGCGGGAGAATCGCTTGAGCTCAGGAGTTTGAGACTAGCCTGGGCAACATGGCGAAACCCCGTCTCTATAAAAAACACAAAAATTAGCTGGGTGTGGTGGCACACCTGTAGTGCCAGCTACTTGGGAGGCTGAGATGGGAGGATGACTTGAGCCTGGGAGGCGGAGGTTGCAGTGAGCAACTGTATTCCAGCCTGGGCAACAGAGCGAGACCTTGCTTAAAATCAGTGTTGAAAGATTTTAAAAACTAAGTAGATAAAAAAGCAGGAAGGTGCAGACCTCCCCTCGTGCTGCTGCTTTATCCATCTGGTCCTATGAAGGCTCACCCTGAAGCCATAGGGAGTGCCTGCTTTTGTTTCATTTTTCTTACTTGTGGTTTCTGAGTCCTTTAACAATAATGAGGCATGATTGGGGATGTAGAAGATGAGTAGGATGATGGTGCCACAGCTGGAGGCCACAGGAGAGGTGCAAACTGGATTCAGTTTGTGTGGCTGCCCCACCCACTGTGTTACGCCACAGAGGCAGGCCCGGGGGCTAGGATTGGCAGAGCTCTCGTGGAGACCTGCCATCGTGCTGATCCAGAGCCACCTTGGTGTTCTCTCTGTAGAGGAGAAGGCAGAGCCCCCCCAAGCTATGAATGCCCTGATGCGGCTGAACCAGCTGAAGCCAGGGCTGCAGTACAAGCTGGTGTCCCAGACTGGGCCCGTCCATGCCCCCATCTTTACCATGTCAGTGGAGGTTGATGGCAATTCATTCGAGGCCTCTGGGCCCTCCAAAAAGACGGCCAAGCTGCACGTGGCCGTTAAGGTAAGTGTGGCCAGCGTCACTATTTTCTAATAGCAGAACCATGATCTTTGTTTTGGGCCCCATATGAGCCATTGTCTCTCAGGGAAGGCATGTAGATCCTAAAAACACACATAGTTAGATGGCGGGTATTTGCAGGTCACATGTGCCAAGAACGCCTTCCCACTGTGGCTGGCAGGCAGAGGGGTCCCCAAACATAGTTGGACATTAGGGCCTCCTGGGAGCAGAAGCTGAAAGGAAACAGCCCTCCTCCAGATGACTTTCTGGGTGGGTGCCTGTAGGCCATGGGGAGGCCCTGCATGCATGGCTCCCGGGCTGAGCCCTGCTTTAATGGGACCTTGGGGATCTCGCTACCTCTGCAGGTGTTACAGGACATGGGCTTGCCGACGGGTGCCGAAGGCAGGGACTCTAGCAAGGGGGAGGACTCGGCTGAGGAGACTGAGGCGAAGCCAGCGGTGGTGGCCCCCGCCCCAGTGGTAGAAGCTGTCTCAACCCCTAGTGCGGCCTTTCCCTCAGATGCCACTGCCGAGGTGAGCACGTGATGGGTGCTGGGAGTCACTGCCAGACAGAGCAGGGAGCCATGTGTCCTGTCAGTGAGGTGGTTACTGGTCCTTGATGATTTGCCCCAAAAAGCTGACCTTTCAGGCCAGAAGCCCACACAGGAAGCTGGGTGCTGCCCTACAAGCCGTGTGGGGGAGGGCCTTGTGGATGTTGTCTCAGCATCCTAGGCTACACTGGGGTGGCCCTGGGTTGAGAACATGCTGTTCAGAGGGGAGGCACAGGGAAGGGGCACATTGCTGGAAGGCCTTCACGAGAGTGGGTGGAGACTGTCTGGCAAGGACTGGCAGTGTATGAGCAGCAGACGCCCGGCCTCAGTCCTGCTGCTCCTCCTGTGTGGCTGGAAAGCCCATAGCTGAGTTTGTCGGTCGTTCTTTCTGTTTTCCCTGAGAACGTAAAACAGCAGGGGCCAATCCTGACAAAGCACGGCAAGAACCCAGTCATGGAGCTGAACGAGAAAAGGCGGGGGCTCAAGTACGAGCTCATCTCCGAGACCGGTGGCAGCCACGACAAGCGCTTCGTCATGGAGGTGCGCGGCCTGGAGCTGCCTGCTGGGGCATCCCATAGGGAGGCCTGGGGTCCCCCTGCCCCTAGAGGGAGGCACTAGGTCACCTCTGTCTGCACTTTCCAGGTTGAAGTGGATGGACAGAAGTTCCAAGGTGCTGGTTCCAACAAAAAGGTGGCGAAGGCGTACGCTGCCCTTGCTGCCCTAGAAAAGCTTTTCCCTGACACCCCTCTCGCCCTTGATGCCAACAAAAAGAAGAGAGCCCCAGTACCCGTCAGAGGGGGACCGAAATTTGCTGCTAAGGTGAGCAGTGACCCTTGAATCTCCTGGCTCAGGCATGGGTTCTCCTGCAATGTGAGCACAAAGGGAATGTCACTTCCTGTGTTCTCTTCTAGCCACATAACCCTGGCTTCGGCATGGGAGGCCCCATGCACAATGAAGTGCCCCCACCCCCCAACCTTCGAGGGCGGGGAAGAGGCGGGAACATCCGGGGACGAGGGCGCGGGCGAGGATTTGGTGGCGCCAACCACGGAGGCTACATGAATGCTGGTAAGGGCCCTTGTACTGCACTGTCCCCATCTTCCCCATGTGCATGCTCTGGGAACAAGTATGCGGGGCTCCTGGGGTGGGCCTGAGACACTGCTGGTCCCTGGTAACCCTCTTTCCCCTTGCAGGCGCTGGATATGGAAGCTACGGGTACGGAGGCAACTCGGCGACAGCAGGCTACAGTAAGTGCGTTTCTCTCTGTCTGACCTGGGAAGCAGTCACAGTGTAGCTTCTGGGCCTGAGTTAGCAAAGGGCGGCCAGAGCAGCCTCGAGGAGGCTGTAGAAGGGGCACACACCTTTTTGCGGTGAATAGGTCATATGACCCTCGACCCCCCCCCGCCCTGCAGTGGGATTGATTGTGTTAACACACAAACTCGTGTAACTGCAAAGTTCCTTAAAAGTTAGAATTTTAAATTTCTCTGCTTTAAGCCATGCGAAGCACCAATCTTGTGAATACGCTTTTCCAGCCAGTGCACAGCTCTTGTCTTGAGAAGGAGCCTTCATTGGGGGGTTACAGGAGCAGAGAAATCTAAAACATGAATTTCAAATGTGGCGCTCTGTGCCCTTTTTCAAAAGAATTCTAATTTCTTCTCTCTGCTCTGTCTCCCCCTTTTGTAGGTGACTTTTTCACAGACTGCTACGGCTATCATGATTTTGGGTCTTCCTAGAGCGTCTAAAAGTATTGCACACAAAATCAACTTTTTACTCCAATTTCCTCCAACTCCAAAACCCAAAGTGTCCGTGCTGTGTCCCTGTGCTTCACTGGGTTTCTCAACCGTGGCTTTTCACCGCAGCTTGTCTGAAACTCTTAGCCTGCAGAATTTAAGACAATGGCAGTTTTTATCGTGATTTGCCTTTGAACTTGGTCCTATTGAAGTTCACACTAAGTGGAAAACAATTTTTTCAGAGAATGTATTTTTGTGCAGAATTGCACAGAATTCTAGAGACAGCGTTGTTCGGCATCAAGGCAAAAGCCCACCTTTGCTTTTTATGGAAAGCATTACTTTATTTAAAGAGACAGACATTGACGCATTTTAATCTACCTTTGTCTTAATTTACAGCAGGTTTTGTATGAATTTTTAACCTTTTAACAAACTCCCAAATCTGGTTGATGCCTTTGACAGTGATGAAAACGATTTCACCACATCTGAATCCAGAGAAACCGGCTTTTTTCTTATTACGAGCATGTGAAAACGTTGGGAACGTGGGGAATTGTGTATTGCGCTGAATTAGCTTCTCCCGCCTCTTGTAATGCTCTGGTGGGTTCTTGTTTGGGAATGCAATGTTTTGTGGCTGGTTTAGCTAGAGAGTGAACTCTCAAAGGTATCAAAACTGTGCTTCCATTATTAGTGCAAGAAACAGACAGGCTTTAAGGGGTAGATGACGTGAAATTTTGCAAGTCTTCATTACAGCTGCAGATGCATGGGATTCTGGATTTTTTTGTTTTTAGTTTATTGGGACTTTAAAAGTAATCAAAGAGAAAGAACCGCGATGTTCCCTGCTTCTTCAGTAAAGGGCTGGCTTTTCCTTGGGCAAAGGTGGTGCTGCTGCATGTGCAGCTGCCACAGACTCCGAAGGCATAGAAGTTTCTGTCTACAAACACACACAGAGTCATTCTGGCTCTTTACTGAGGCCCCCGTTTTCTGGCAGGTGTCCTCCTTGGAAACTGGTTTTGGCTCTGATCAGCGGTTATTTTTTGCAGCAAAGCCTGCGTCTGTGTTGACTTGCAAGATTTTACGTTTATTCAGGCAAAAACTGGTCAAAATGGTTACTACGTGATTTGTTCCCAGAGGTTTGAAACATTCAGTGAAACTTTTTAAAACTTTGATTGCATGATGTATTTTTTTTTTAGAAAGTTATTGTTTGAGAATAATGTCTTTTTATACCAGGAAAATAGTTATCCTGAATGACGTTGAAAACTCCCCCTCCCCTTTATTTTTTTTTAATCAATACATGTGAAAGTAACAAGCCCTCGGCCCTTGCGTCTTCATTCATTCCCGGCTTCAGGCGGGGCGAGGTGGTGTGCTCAGTGCAGGACACTGGGGAAGCTGGGGCAGTGGGGCTGTGGGGTGTGGGTCCTGGGTCCTGGTCGGGGTGTTCTGAAGATCCCATCCTCCCAGTCTCCTCGCTGAGCTGCCGCATGTTCGCTTTCTGGCATTGTGGGACACGTCCTCCCCCTTGGTGTCTTGGCTTTGTGATGGGGGGCGAGGGAGGAGGCCTGCCTGAAGAACACAAACCGAAGGTTGCAGATAGTTCTGTCCACATTGTCGTGTAGGCAGCCCACCACACCAGCGTGGGGTATACATCTCCAGTGGGTGGAGGCACATGAGGACTCCCAGTTACCCCACCCAGGAGGCGGTGGGCCCTTGGTGTCCTCAATCTGGGAAGGAAGGACAGGCAGTGTGGGAGCCTCCCCTTCCATCCCACCCACCCTGGGCCTGGCGGTCTGGGCAGCTTAACTGGGCAAAGGTGGCTGCATTCACAAGCCGACCCGCTCTGAGAGCCCAGGAACTCAGCTGCACCTGCTGATCAGCTTGGGCATTGCCCAGCTTGGCTGGAGAGCTACCACCATGACCTGGCCTCCCGCCTCACCCACCCTCTCAGCCTTCCCACGCCCGTTCGTGGAGACCCCCTCTGTGGGGCTCCCTTGCAAGGCTTGGTGTGCAGCATTCCCTCAGCCAGTGCCATCCCCTTTGTTCCACTCAAGCCTCTGGTGGGGCTGTGTATTGACAAACCTAGTTGACCAGAAGTGGAGTCTCGCTGCTACATTTTCAGCTTGCAGCTGAGAATGTGGTGGCTGCACTGCACGCTCTCAGCCCTGCTGCTCAGTCCCACGTGCACCCAGCAGCTGTGCTGGGGACAAGGAAGGGGCGTCGGGGACATCAGGGCAGTAGGTCTAGGCCTCACCTGGCTGTCCTGGCCCCAGCTGTGGCCAGTCTTCCCCCACCAACCAGGCTGGGGCTTGCTCACATCCTGAGTCACATGCTTGCACGAGTATCACAAGGGAGGTGCCTGCATCATTGACTAAGTCTCAATTTGTCTTCCATGAACCAAACCAGCTCAGACCAGTTGGTCTCAGGATGATGACGGTCCAGGGGTCTCTTTAAACAGTATCTCTTGGGGATCTCCAGGCCTGTGCCTGTGGAGCCTGTTTCCAGCACAGCAGGGAGGAGGGGGGTGGCCGCTGCTTCTCTGGGGCTTTGCTTTTCCTGTCACCATTGGGGATCTCTGGGTAGCCGTCAGCTAGCTGTGAATGTCGTCCCGCGCTCGGAGTCCATCTCATTGTAATGTTGACATCCGCTGCAAAAGCTGCTGGCGCGTGCTGCTTGGCAAAGCCCCATTGTTGTCATCAGCTGCTGGGTGAGTGGAGCTGAAGGCTGGGCCAGCCTGAATGGCTGCGCTAAGGACCGGAGCCACTGCTCCTCTCCCTCCTTTTTCTGCTGCCTCTGACCCGGGCTTATGGGTCAGCCTTCAGGACCCATGGCTGCCGCCTGCCCTTCCCTCCCTTCCCCCTGCCCTTTCCCGTCCTCCGCCTGACCCACTGCCTCCCTGTTTAGGTCAGTTCTACAGCAACGGAGGGCATTCTGGGAATGCCGGTGGCGGTGGCGGCGGGGGCGGTGGTGGCTCCTCCGGCTATGGCTCCTACTACCAAGGTGACAACTACAACTCACCGGTGCCCCCAAAACACGCTGGGAAGAAGCAGCCACACGGGGGCCAGCAGAAGCCCTCCTACGGCTCGGGCTACCAGTCCCACCAGGGCCAGCAGCAGTCCTACAACCAGAGCCCCTACAGCAACTATGGCCCCCCGCAGGGCAAGCAGAAAGGCTATAACCATGGACAAGGCAGCTACTCCTACTCGAACTCCTACAACTCTCCCGGGGGCGGGGGCGGATCCGACTACAACTACGAGAGCAAATTCAGTGAGTTGGCTTCCAGAGCTCCTTGGCTGGGCCAGGGTCCAGGCCCCAGCAGTGCAGCCCACGGAGTGGCGGAAGCTCGGCACTGCCCAGACCACTGGCCGAGGGCCTTAGGAGGAGGACACGTGGTGTTGGCTGTGGGCGGGTGCTAGGAAGATGGGGCGTGGGGCCCCTTGGTGCCGTCTTCGCCACTTTCTCTGGTGTGTTCTCCGAAGGCAGGGGTAGCTGAGGCCTCTGTCTCTAGGCCCTGGCTGTGGGTGAGGCTGCAAGGTGACTTCCTGGGACTTGATCTAGAGAGTTTTGCATCCAGCCCCTGCAAGAGCCTGATCTCTCCGCCACCGCCTCTCCCGCTTCCTCATGCACAGACCCAGCAGGCCCAGGCTGCACCAGTGGCCCGGTGGGGCTGAGTAGGTGTGTCCTTGGGACCCAGCAGCTCTCAGCAGCAGGCCAGGGACTTGACAGAGGCTGCACTGGGTGTGCGGGTCAGAAGGGGGTGCTGTTTGTGTGGTGCTGCTGGCTGAGGAGAGACAGCTGCTGGGGTCTCGTGCACTTCCTCAGCTGCTGCTGGGAAGTTTGGGCTGCAGGAGCAGTTGAGAAGGCACCCCACAGCAGGGCTTTGGAGCTTGGTGACCAGCCCAGCCCAGGGCCAGGTGACCCTGCAGGGCTGCAGCTGGCTCCTGGCGCTTATCTGTTGGGCTGATGTGTGACATTGAAGCAGGCAGGGAGAAGAGTTAGAGGCCCAGGGTTTGGGCCAGGGGCCGGCCGCGTCTGAGGCGCACCACAAGGTCCCTGGGCCACCCCAGTTGTGTGTTTCCTGGGGCCCCTTAACCACCCTGTCTTCTTTCCCCCAGACTACAGTGGTAGTGGAGGCCGAAGCAGCGGGAACAGCTACGGCTCAGGCGGGGCATCCTACAACCCAGGGTCACACGGGGGCTACGGCGGAGGTTCTGGGGGCGGCTCCTCATACCAAGGCAAACAAGGTGGGCCTGGAGCCCCTGGTGGCACAGCATGGGGGCCCGGCACCTGCTGTGAAGCGGGATGTGGACCTGGTGGGAGCAGACGGCAGCGTGGGCAGGGCTGCAGTGGCAGGTGGGCCCTGTGAGAGAGAATACACACTTGGGTGCACTGGCAGCTGCTAAGGCTTCCTGGAGTGGCTGGAGAGCCAGCAGTGTCCCCACTCTTAACCCCTGGTACCTGTGTGAAATGTGGGTGACACGGAGGCCAAACAGCAGTTCCCCTGGTTCTGGCCAGTAGCTCAGCTGTGGGCTCAGGTAGCTTCCCCCAGAAACAAGGGTCACAGTGGTCCCACCTCTCGGAGTCTTGGTGTCAGTCTTGTCCAGTAATGTGTGGTAGGCAGGCAGAGCCGCATAGGAGGCCACGAGTCTTGCCCACCTGCATCCTGGCCGAGTCTTGGGTGTGGGCTGCCTAACCTGAGCCCCGCTGGCTGGGCCCCTCGGCTCTAATCCACCACTCTCTCTCCTAGGAGGCTACTCACAGTCGAACTACAACTCCCCGGGGTCCGGCCAGAACTACAGTGGCCCTCCCAGCTCCTACCAGTCCTCACAAGGCGGCTATGGCAGAAACGCAGACCACAGCATGAACTACCAGTACAGATAAGCCCCCGCGGGGCGGAGATTTCTACCTTCTGCACTTACTCCCCATCAGAAGATCGAGTTTTATGCATCACAGTTAACATGTCAGCTGGCCCTCCAGGCCCCCGCCCCCACCCCGTCCACGTTGCTGTGTCGTGAGGTGCAGCGGGTCACCCTGTGGCCCGTCCTGTGACCCATATTTAGCCGTGTTTGGGACTCCGTGTCTTCAATGGTTTGTTAGTTGCCATTACAACTTTGTCTGGGTAGAGTTTTTGAGTTCTTGCAGTTCAGTATCCCTCTGTCTATTCACACTTGGTGTTAGTGGTAACTCAGTTTGTCTTTAAATAGTTACGGAAGGGATACGTCATTTGTTAATGCTTTTGTGAAGTGAGTTAAACGAGCTTTCTGTATTTTAATGCTTTAGTGTTTCAGTTTTATAAGTGAAGATTTTATTTTAAAAACCAGTGGGAAAGAGTGGGGGGTTTCTTTTTATGTCTGGGTCATTCAGGCAGTACATCTGAATTAAGCTGAATGTAGACAAATAAAGAAAAACAAAACTGCGCCCGTCTTAGGCCTGGGTGTCTGACCCACCAGCAGCGCAATGAGCAGGTTTCCCCGCTCTGTCCCTGCTCGGGGAAAGCAGGGCGGGCCAGCAGGATGCTCCCTGGTCCTTAGAGAGGGTCCAGTTCTGGCCTTCTAGACATTTTACTCATGCTCAGCGAAGGCTGGTTGCTGGTCTCCTGGGCTGTGTAGACCCGGTGTCCCACCAGGCTCCAGGCTCCCACCGTCCATAGAGGGGCTCACAGTGCCCATTCTGGTCTTGGGGAACCCATCACAAAACAGGCAGGCTTTTTCTGCTCCCTGATTTTGGTGTGGTTCTAAGTACACCAGTGATGTCCTCTGTAGGGGCATGCCTGTGGTGGAACACACAACCCAGTTAGAAAAAGAAAGGGCAGGTGAGGCCTGGGTAACCCCAGCCACGGATCGTCAGTGGCTGGAGGGAGCTTCATGTCTGTGCTGGAGCTGCAGCCTGCTCGCCATCTGGAGGCTCAGCAGAGTGGGGAGTTGGGGTTCTCACACCAGCAGATTTCCCTAGAGCGTGATTCTCCCATCTGAGGCAATCTCGCCTCCCAGGGGAAATTTTGCAATGTTTGGAGGATGTTGTCACAGCTAGCAGGTGCTCTGGGATCTAGTGGATACAGGCCAAGGATGCTGTCAAGCATACTATGTTGCCCAGAAGAGTGGCCCACAGTGGGGACCTGCCCTATCGAAATACCAGGTGTGTGGAGGTGGAGACGCTACGCTAGAGCAGCCCTTCTAGCTCCACCTTGCCTGGGGAGGGAGGAGGAGCTCTGGTTTCAGGGCATTGCTGGGATTGCCTTTCCCCAGGATCCCTGTCGGCCATCCAGGAAGAACTGTACTTGCCAAGCCTGGGACCACACACTACAGAGATCCTGCTTTGCTGACCTGAGCACCAGGCCTTGGCCTCCTGTGCTTGGGTAACCATGGCCACTGGGAAAAGTGAGGACCATTTTTGACTCAGAATCATTCAGCTAATGTAGAATATCAAGTGTGCTTTCAAAGGATGAAGATTTGCTTTCTTGGAGAGGTGAAAGAACAAGTTGTGTGCTAGAAAACTGTTGAGGAATTCTCATTTGTGTTAGAGCAGAGGAGGTCCCAGATACCAAGTGGCCCCTCCCAGGAAAGGGTGGGAGAAGAGGACCTGAAGTACCCTGAGATCCTAGCAGTGCACACAGTGGAGGGATGAGGATGGATGAGTCCTACCCCCAATTTTGATGGGATGTGTTCATGTCCTGTCTCCTCTCTTGGACATATTAAGGGGTTGGGACAAGAAGAGACTCCTGTGAGATCAGCAGACCTTGTATTTGAGGAGAGAATACCAGCCTGTAACACCCATGGAAGGGATGCCTCCTGGCCCCACCTGCCAAATACCTCCAAACTCCAGGCAGTCGCCTGCATTCTCAACACAGGACTCTCCTTGCAGTTTCCCGCTCAGTGATCGCTACCAGGGTCGTTTCTGAATGTAGACCCACCACGAGGGACGGATTCCATCCGCCCGCCCTGCTGCAGATCTGCCGCATAGCAGGCACGTGTCTTGGAGAGAACAGCTCTGAGCACAGCATCCTTGGAGCCCTCAGTCCGCTCAGGGGCCTCACCGGTGCTGATTATGCCGTCATGCCGCTTGCCTGTGACAGTATCCCAGCTACAACAGGACGCTGGGTTCAGGAAGATGTGGCTATCACCTTGAGCACTGACAGTGGCCTTCTGGGCCAGTTGCCTTCCAAACCCAGGAAGCTGACCTGCAGGAGGGCCTACAAATGGGCCCTGTAAGAGCTAGGCAACAGTTGGCTTGTGATGAGACACCTCAACGCTTTGGACGGTGTCCTACATGAGTTGATAGGATGGGGTGCTTGGTGGATGGGCCATGGAGGTCCGTGAGCGGGAACTGGGCACACACCATCCCAGAGGGCTCAGGATGCCCCAGGAGGGAAAGAAGGGCAACAGACTACATGATTGGACATGTGTGATTGGCTGGGATGAAGTTGGAGGGAGGGCCGGGGGATTGGTACTGATTCCAAGGAGAAAGTATTGGGGCTTGATGAACTATGATGAAAGGAGGCCTCTGAGCCATAACAAGGGGCACATCCAGGATTTCCGCCACCCTGGATTTAGTAGAGCCAGTAGGCCCTGGTATGTCACTCTGGGCAGGGATGTTGTCAGCCCTGAGGGTTGCCACCCACCTGTTTGTTGCCCTCTGTACTGGCAGGGAAACATACACCCCTTGTCTCACCACAGACTTTGCTTGTGTAGTCAGTAGGGCTGGCCCTGCCCCAAGGACTCACTGCATGTACCCGGACCCCTAGGCCTGGCCTTTGCAGCAGAGGTGGCAGCTTCTGGATTCCAGCTGTAGTTGTGAGCCCCTTGCTGGCTGTGCACTGCACCGGCCTGAGACCGCTGGATACAATGTTGGGCAACAACTCAGCCAGCCTGATGGCAGGCTCAGAGGCTCACTCTAACCCATCCCAGAATAAATGGAGACTTCATGTGTTCATTGTTTCATTCACTCAACATGCGTTCGTTCATTTTTTTTAAGAGAGACAGGATAGACCTGTAATCCCAGCACTTTGGGAGGCCGAGGTGGGCAGATCACGAGGTCAGGAGATCAAGACCATCCTGGCTAACATGGTGAAACCATGTCTCTACTAAAAATACAAAAAATTCAAAAAAAAATTAGCTGGGCATGGTGATGGGCGCCTGTAGTTCCAGCTACTCAGGAGGCTGAGGCCGGAGAATGGCGTGAACCCAGGAGGCGGAGCTTGCAGTGAGCCAAGATCATTGCCACTGGACTCCAGCCTGGGTAACAGAGCAAGTCTCCATCTCAAAAACATAAAAAGAGGATATTGCTCTGTCATCCAGGCTGAAGTGCAGTGGCATCATCATAGCTCACTGCAGTCTTGAACTCCTGAGAGCTCAAGCGATCCTCCTGTCACAGCCTCTGGAGTAGCTGGGACTACAGGGCTGTTCTTCCATACCTGACTACTTTTCTTGTAGAGGTGGGTCGCCCAGCCTAGTCTCAAACTCCTGGACCTTAAGCAACTCAGCTTCCCCATAGTGGCTGGGGTGACAGTGCCACTGTGCCCTGCTGTCCTGTTTATTATTGGGTGATGATTACATGTCAAGTCTGGTGCTGGTTGCTGGGAACCTGCTCTCAACCCACATGGCTTTTCCAGGCACAAAGAGGGCTGTGTCACAGTGGGACAGGGAGTGCCTTGTCAAGGGTTTCCCCTTAGGTGAGAAAGGATGGGTGAGTTGGACCCAGGAGTGTTAGGAAGGGAAGGGGAGGCCAGGCAGAGGGAATAGCTTGAGCAAAAATTCAGCTGGGGTATGAGGATGGGCTTGAAGAAGCTGAAGTCAGATGGGTAGAGCATTTTGGATGCAAAACGAAGGAATGCTGGGAAATGAGACTGGAGGTCAGTGGGATCTTGAGGGCCCCCAAGTGGAGGGCCAGGCACAGGAGTGCTTTCTAAGGGCAGTGGGGAGCCATGGATGGATTCTGACCTGGGAAGACCTCAGGCCCTTTCAGGCTTCCCAAGAATATTATTTATTTATTTTGTTGGCCAGGCTGGAGTGCAATGGCGTGATCTCAGCTAACCACAACCTCCGTCTCCCGGGTTCAAGCGATTCTCCTGCCTCAGCCTCCTGAGTAGCTGGGATTACAGGCATGTGCCACCACGCCTGGCTAATAGTGTATTTTTAGTAGAGACAAGTTTTCTCCATGTTAGGCAGGCTGGTCTCGAACTCCTGGCCTCAGGTGATCCACCTACCTCGGCCTCCCAAAGTTCTGGGATGACAGGTGTGAGCCACCACACCCGCCTATTTGTTTTTTAAGATAGAGTCTTGCTCTGTCGCCAGGCTTTGTTTTTTAAGATGGAGTCTTGCTCTGTCGCCAGGCTTTGTTTTTTAAGATGGAGTCTTGCTCTGTCGCCA